CGCTTTGTCCTTGTCTTCGCAAGCCACACTTCTTCTGCTATAATGTGTGAACTGGTCCTTTCATGGGTTCAGCGGATGGTATGGCTGTTTCAGCGGTGTCAGTGGACATTTCTTCCAAGTATGTTCGCCATTTCACAGTTATCTCCTGTGATCTTCTTAACGTTTCGAAGCTTTGATATGGTAGAAGTGTTCATCTTTTGCGGACTCTGCTCTCCTCTTCGCAACGGTATATTTCTCGCTCTCCCGCAGGAGATTTCAATTTCTTGTACAGCTCTTCTATATACCTGTTTCGTTTTCTTGACACTTTCTTTGCACCGTGTTTTGCTTTTATATACATCTGTCAATCACTTTACAATTTCAGCCTATGCCATTGCTTGTTCGCTTGATCCGTTATCACCGTTTGAACCTCATCGTCCGAAGGCCAAGTTTAATCGATTCTTTTTCTTCCTTTTCGCACGTCCCAGTATTCCTTGTTACCCAATGTACGTTACACTTCAAAGTTGATCATGACTTTCTGATTTTTTGCATAAGGCCTGAGCATCCTTGACCAGAGAGTTCCCTTTCAATTGCCACCATTTGAGTCGTACTTTGTTCTTAGCATAGGCCCGTGGTTCTCGTGACACCTCCCTGCACCGTTTTTTCCCAATGATCGTTGAGATGCTCCAAATAGGAGTATCTTATCTTGTGATATGGATTTGATGTAATCGTTAAGCTCTCCTTACATCCGGCTAGCGGAGCATAGGCGGTGACAATCCGAAGTATTTTTCTCTCAATATCAATATTTATGTTCATAAGTCGATCATCAATCGCTCAACTGCGACAATCTTCCAAGGTTCTCAGAGACAGATGTCGCCCGAGGGTTCCGACACTGATGGCACTAATTGGGGAATCTGAGTTTTAATTGTCTTCGAAGAGCTAGCATTCTAACCCGTCTCCGCTCGTAAGACGGTGGCCCTTGCCCACTATCTACTCGCATCCATCAGGTGCGCTTCCCGGGGACGCCTTAGCTTTTACTCGATACTCTATATTAGCATAGCCCATAAGATGCGACGGAGTGTTTCGCAGTCGACTTGTCGC